TGCCTTACTAATATAGTTTGCTGTTGGAGGCCGACTATGTGCTCAATGGCTCCGAAGCGCAAAGGTAAAAGGCACCCGCTCTGCTCATGCGTCCTTGCTCCTAGTAGTGATGCCCTTTGCTCCTAGTAGCTTCTTGCTCCTAGTAGTAAGGCCAGGAGCCCCTAGTAGCGTCCTTGTTACTAGTAGCGAGACCTCTCTGAGAGGACGAACGAGAACCACCACTGCAGCGACTAGGCATTTTGTGTGCAAGGGTGGCGTTGTCCGATGTCCTGATTTATAGAATTGCCGACAAACCTTCAAGATTTGTACCAAATGTTGCACAACTCTGTTCTCAAACAGGAGACATGATGGCCCTCTCTCTCTCTCTATACGCAAGTAGGTTGGAGGCCATCGCTACTAGGGTGGAGGCCCTCGCTCTTGGGTCGGAGGGCATTGCTATTAGGTACTCCTCTCTCTCTCTCTCTCGCTCTATACGCAAGTGCGCAAAAATAATGACGTGACGGCAGCCATCTGCTCGGGCATTGGAAAAGGGGACTCCTTTCGAACGCTGGGTCCTAATGAAGGTAAAAACGATATGAAAAGCCCGCGGTTGGTTGAGAACATGGTACCAATTAAAATCTGTTTTAGTTAATCAGTGGGAATTTACGCCCAATTTACATAGAATTTAGATCAAGTAGACTTAATTAGATGTTGATTAGAATTATTTCAAAGTCATGTGTTCTTTTGCGCAGCAAGGGTTAGGGCCGGGAGTGCAAAGGAAAAGCCTTGAAAGGCTCCGGTAAATGAGTTGTTAATAGCAATGGCCTCCAACCTAGTAGCGAAAGGAACCCATAGCGATGGCCTCCAACCTAGTGCGATGGCCTCCCACCTAGTACCTTCCTGTTGCTAGTAGTAATGCCCTTGTTACTAGTAGAGATCTCTGGCAAATGCCAAGGTCTAAAGGCGCTTTCGGACAATTTCGGCCCAAGGGGCTATGTTCTCGCAGCTCGACACAGCCACCTACGCACGGGACCTTCATGGGATCCTGCGAGCAACCAGCCACACGTTCATGAGAATAAGGAAGGAAAGATAAAAGGGACACTACTAGGTGGAGGCCATCGCTACTAGTAAAAAGAAGCTACTAGCAGCGTCCTTGCTCCTAGTAGCAAGGCCAGGAGCTACTAGTAGCTTCTTGTTACTAGTAGTATGGCCAGGAGCCCCTAGTAGCGATGCCCTTGTTTCTAGTAGCTTCTTGTTACTAGTGGTCTCGAAGGTCTGTAAGACGCTACTAGGGTGGCCATCGCTGGCAGATTTGCAAATCGGCCACATTCCAAAATGACAATCTCACGTCACTCTCTTCGCTGCATCTCTCCTGTGAGAAAAGTGCTGTGGACTTCGCCTCTGGTAATGGAGGCACCACCTCCAGACTTGAAAGCAAATGACAGCAGCACTCCGAGGATGGTATTTCAGCATAAACTGTCCTTGGTAGCTTTGAAGAGAACATCTGCGCCTCTGACAATTCTTCCTCCAAGTCAGGGTAGTTGCTTTGACTCCTTTTCCTGCCTAAGAGCGCAGCTGTAGGAAACGACCAACTACTGTCAGCAGCATGCTCTGTCAGCAGCTTGCTCGGTCGCAGCATGCTCTTGTTGTCAAGGACCAAGCTTCTGGAGGTCACGTTGGAAATCGCTCTGGTAATCCATCCTTGCTTCGCTTGCTTTGTCATGGCCTGGGATATGGAGTAGAGATGGAAGAATCATGAACAAACATACAAGAACACATAGAATACAATATGTTTTTAAGGGACGCTACTAGGGGCTCCTGGCCTTACTACTAGGAGCAAGGACGCTACTAGTAACAAAGGGCATTGCTACTAGGAGCAAGGACGCTACTATCCTGGCATCGCTACTAGGAGTAAAGGATGCTATTTGTTTGCTTCAAGGGAGCATCTTTTGCTTGCGGGTGGGAGGGATGGACAAGAAGCTTCCTTGAAGACCCCCTTCACCAAGAAAACGGGCGTCTTGCTTCTAGAAAGTCTAGAAAGTTAAGCAGGACCATGGTCACATGGTCTTGTCTATTCTTTTATTTGTTTTACTTTTCTTTCTCCAAACCTTTCTTTATACCATGCGCTCGCGCTCTCTCTCCCTCTCTTGTATTCCTGGAAGTCAACACTTAAGCTCCTGGCGGCCAAAGCAAATTAAGTTGAAATTTTCTGAGCCCAAAAGGCGGAGAAGCATTGGCTTCCAAGTTGCTGCAGTGCTTCTGTAAAGGCCTTTGACTGTCTCCTTGTTCTTTCATTATTTTGAATCCGTTGATTTAAGTCTTTACTCTCAAACTCTGACTTCAAGGTTTCAGGAAGACAACGAGAGAACTCCGTCCGCACCTTTGGGTTGGATGAGTTGCCACTGTAGGACTTGCTCCACACGCCAAAATCTGCAAACATAGAAACAAGTGCATCGCTACTAGGAGCAAAGTGGATCGCTACTAGTAACAAGAAGCTACTAGTAACAAGGGCATCGATACTAGTAACAAGTGCCTTACTAGTAGTAACAATGTTCGCTAGTAAAAGCACCTCGGAGTCGGATGGTTAATTCTAATAACAAGCTTCTTGTTCCTAGTAGTAAGGCCAGGAGCCCCTAGTAGCGATGCACTTGCTACTAGTAGCTTCTTGTTACTAGTAGCGATGCCCTTTGCTCCTAGTAGCGAACATTGTTCTGTTGGAGATGGCTTCAAGCAGCTTTTCCAACCTACTAGCGGCCTCCAACCTGCGATGGCCTCCATCTTTGGTAGTAACAAGTGCCTTACTAGTAGTAACAAGAAGCTACTAGTAACAAGTGCATCGCTACTAGGGGCTCCTGGCCTTACTATCATTCGTATCAACTCCGTTTTCTCGGACTCCGGCCATAACTTTCGTCCAACTTTCTTCGGCTGGAACGCCTGGTGAGAGGCTTGGCCCTCGTTCAAAAGAGGCCTTTTTAGGGAACTTTTCAAACACTCCTAGCGTCCTTTGCTCCTAGTAGCGATGCCAGGAGCCCCTACTAGCGTCCCGAAAAAAAAAAAGAACATATTTGGTGTTCATAAAACCATATTTGGTGTTTGAAGACAGAAAGCAACTTGCTCTTGCTCCAAAAGAGTTCCATTGCCGGTAGTACAGGGTAGTGATGACCAGGTTCTTGGTGAAAGAAGTGCAATTGATTGTTCTAGCAAAGGCCAACACAGCAAGGACTCTCGAATACTATAGATTGAAAGTAAGTACTGTAAAGTTCAGGAATCTTTAGATGCACTGTACTGATTGGGTTGGAGGCAATCGCTTTTAGGTTGGAGGCCATCGCTACTAGGTTGGAGGCCATGGCTTTTAGTTAAGTTTATGTTACTCCAACCTACTTGCGATGGCCTCCACCTAATAGCGTCCTTGCTTGTAGTCTAGGAATACACTGATTTTAAACTGTCGCTGTGATTGCTTCTCCAAGCTCCCCAGCCAGCTAGACCCGTCCAGTGGGCTATCGAACCTGGCGAAGCAAATCTTCAGAAAGCACCTGTCAGAAGCATCACAAGCGGTGTGTCCGGCTCTGGTCACACCAGAGTCTCCCTTTTGTTTCCACTTTTCTCCTCTCCTTTCCGCACCACTGCCTTTGGCAGGGGCCTCCTGTTCGGACCGGCGATGAAAGCAAAAGTATGATGTTGGTATGATTGTTTCGAAGGTGTTGAATCTGTTTTCTGGTAGGTGTTCAAAAGTGAGCTTGTTTGGAAAAATAAAGGAGATAAACCAAAAGGTTGTATTTGGGTCCATTTAATAAGGCCCTTTTCTATCCTTTTAAACTTCTACTAGTAACAAGTGCATCGCTTCTAGTAACGAGTGGATTACTACTAGTATCAAGAAGTAGCAACTATGCTACTAGTAGTAGTGCACTTGTTACTAGTAGCGAACATTGTTACTACTAGTAAGGCACTTGTTACTAGTAGCGATGCACTTGTTACTACTAGTAAGGCACTTGTTACTAGTAGCGATGCACTTGTTACTAGTAGCGAACATTGCTACTAATTTGTATTTTGTCGCCATCCGGCGAAGCGCCGATGGTCACGGCATTCCGACATCCCTTGCGGCGAATGGGACACCGCAACCAAATGGGCTTTGATGGGTCGGGACATTAATCGGGAATGCCTTTTCTATTTGGAAGTGTTTTTTTGGTTTTCTGTGCGGTTATCAATGGGAAAGGCATTACAAGTAAAGATTTTGTCTAGAAGAGTCATCAAAAGAAAAGCATGCAATAGAAAACTCGTCAAAAGAGAGAGTTCAACATAAACTTCATAGAAATAGTGATTTCACTGAAAACCCGTTGACATTTCAATATAAAAATAATCCGACATCGACATATCAACAGAATTGTTATGCTGCTGGTGCTCCTGGCCCTAGACAGAGCTGAGCCCCATTCTCAAAGTGAGGGCTCCTCTCTAAGAAAAAGAGAGAGAGAGAGAGAGAAAAAAACACAAACGAAAAATGTTAATGCTCATAAAGAGCGGGAGGGGGCCCTGAAATCAAAAAGAACAGAAAGGGGCGCGGGGGAGGGCGCTGCGCCCTCCCTCGCAATGAACACAAAGTACAGTGCAGCGCCCCCATCAAAAGAGAGAATTCAAAATAAAACTAGAAAACCGTTGAGATTTCAATATAAACATAATAATGGATAAGTCATAAAAAGTAGAGATTTCGATAGAAGAGGCATCACGATAGAAACCAAAACCAACAACACCCAAAAACCCACACAGAAGCCAAAAGCCACCAAAGCTACCTAACCACTAAAAACAAAAAACACACAAACAACATCTCCCTTAAAACCACACTCTCTTTGGAAGTACAAACAGATTCTTGCTTTTATATTAAAAAAATGATAATTCTTTTGCGTTACTAATAGCGATGGCCCCCAACCTACTATATAGCAATGGGAAACATCTTAGAAAGCTGCAACATACGCTAGTCTGAGGAGGAGTTGAGTAAGAGTGAAGAGGTATTGTTTCGTTTGGAACATCTGCTAATCACATCTGTTTTTTGGAGCGATAGCTTCCGCTCAGCAAACACGTGGCTTTCTCGCTCTACGTCTGCTTGCTTTGCAAGTGGCTCTGCAATGCCGGCGGTGCAAAATTCACTGCTCGCCAGTCTTGTTCTTAGAGCGGTAAATGTGCGATTGTGAAATTTGAGGGCTGCGCTTAATCTGTTTGGGTCAACTCAGTACCCTGCTGACTGCGGCTGACATGATTTCCTCATTTGCCTGAGACACGCTCAGCAAGGCAAGTCCATGTTTGAGCGCCAAACATCTTTTGCTGTGAGCACACACACACACAGCCATACAGTTCAAATAGCCAGTATCTCATGATCTACCTGCACCAAACTTGCAATGATGGTTCTCAAAGCCACAAAAGGTTCTGATGTTCTTTTGATGACATCAAATGGGTGTTAGCTTAGCAGGTGGCTCGGAGAGCTTCCGAGGCAAACTCTGAGACCATGCCATTGCCTCAAATATCTCAAAAGCTGTCGCCTTCCGCTTGGAAGGAACAAACAAGAACGGACGCTCTTGAAGAAGGATCGGAAGCACACCAGTAGTTGAAATCAAGGCTCATTGCACGCAACGCATCACAAAGTCAAAGTCTCCTGGGATTGATTCCAAAGCAGCCTGGGTTTGTCCATTTATTTGAACCTTCATCCGAATTAAATCTGCAGAGTTAGACCTTAGTTCCTTTCTGAATTCACAATACAGCACCTTTGCCTTTGAGTCCTCTGAGTCGGTCAGTAGCATGTTCCAGAGCGCAACGGTCCATTTGCACAGCCGGGAAGACTAGGTCCTCTGATTGGTGACGGTCTTCAAAGAAGACGTGTTGCGCAAAACTTGAGAATAAAGACACAAAGCGGGGGTAGGCTAGCAAGAGGAGAGCTAACAAGTAGCTGGGGTATGTAGGAGCAAGGGAACTGCTTCTTCAAGAAAGAACCTCTCGCGTGATGGCGAATGGAGACATCCTTTAAACTTCCCGCGTGATTGATTTTGTTCCTAGATGTTTGTGGAACCTTCGCACTCATGTAACAGGAAAGTATGTTATCCCTCAAAATCTAGGAGCCAAATCACTAGCGCGAGCGCTTCTTCCAGGAAGCGTGAGCAATCCTGCGTCCAGTATGTATTAGTTTCCCAATTTGCTACTAGCCTACTACTCGCTTACTGAATGAAACAGGGAGAGCGTGGGGAGCCCCGAGCGGGAGCGGGCTTTAAAAAGTCAATGCAGCATGCGACATGAGCTCCTCCCGATCCCTGAGGCGCTCCGACGCATGCCTCGATCTCTTCGATTTTCCGGTTTTCCTTTTTTCGAAAGCTAGTGAGTCCAAAGATAGTTTCTAATAGCAATGGCCTCCAACCTACTAGCGATGGCCTCCTCTCTACCCCAATAGCGATGGCCTCCAACCTAATAGCGATAGCCTCCAACAAAGTGAAGCCAACAATAGCTGACTTCTTTCTTCAAGCCGGCACACAGTCTAGATGAAATTCACAATCTGAGAGGCCCTTCCAGTCTAACTAAGCCGCTGACTCTAGCGCCAAGGGCTGGCTGCGGACGGCTTGGAAGACCTCATGGCCCCCTATTATAGGTGTTGGAGGCCATCGCTGCTAGGGTGGAGGCCATCGCTACTCAGGTGGAGGCCGTCACTCGTGGAGGCCATCGCTACTGGGGTGGAGGCCACGGTTTTTTGCGTGGGGGCCATGCGGCTTATTAATGATAGGGCTACCAGGGTGGGCCATCGCTACTAGGGTGGAGGCCATGGCTACCAGGGTGGGGTGGAGGCCATCCCTACTAGGCTGGAACCCATTGCTACTAGGGTGGAGGATATCGCTACTAAGGTGGAGGCCTTCGCTACCAGGGTGGATTGCGCTTCTCGTTTCGCCTTGGGCACCGCACCAGCTCTTCGTCATCACGGAGCCGTGCAGAAGCACAGCTGAGAGCGAAGCCGCTACGCTGCAGCGCCCAGCGCAGCAAGTCTCGATCCTCAGAACGATTTGCTTTTGGACCTCTTCTTTAAGTTGACTATAGTTGACTTATATATCGATGTTTTCATTTTTCGCCTCTCCTTACTTAAGTAGGCACCTACTTAATCAAGTAGGGGGCAAACCTGTTCATACCTGTTCGCTGCTAGGAGGCTACAACATATGGACGCATGTGAGAGCTCACGCGCTCATGATTAGGGAAAATTAACTTACAATATATACATACATATATATATATAGATATAGATATAGATATACGGCGTCGTTAAACACGATCTTTTAAACAATTGAACTGGTATTTTAGGGGACCACCGGCATGGTTTTCCGCGTAGGCCTGGCAAACAGGGACACAGGACAATTGGAGAAGATCAGGTGCCATAGCCAGACAAGACATGGCCAGCGCACCAGCGTCATCGATTCGCTCATGGCAAACGTCGATCCGGCGGGAGGCTTGAACGTGGGCGCTGGTTGCAAACCTCAAGCAATTACTTTGATAGGTGGTGGTGATTTGAGGGCGTTCCTTCAAGGCCCTTGTGGTCCAGTTTAGTTTCATGTGGTCCCACGGGTTGGCCACCACTAAGAACCACTAAGGTGCCACCTGTTGCAGGGGGGATGCTGCTGACGACTACGCCGGCGTTTTTGATGAAGCGGAGCTGTCATCTGACAGCTGCGACGTGATTTGGCTGCCTTCCTCACTTCTTACCCTGGCTTCATGGAGGTTTCGTCAACGTACACGGGTGACTTACACCAAGACATAGTTTGCCACCATGTTGTATCCTGAGAATCGCAATGCCAGTGGAGGGCCTCGTGGAACGCACGCAACTAGTTAAAAAACACATTTGCAGCAAGCTGCCCGGTGGCCACCAGCATGGACTTCCTCACTCACGGCTGGGAAGGGAATTGAACTTTGAGACTCTTTGCCAACAATGCTAGGGTTGGTGGTGGACACCCTGGTCCAATGGTGTTGGTGTGGTCCCAGCGGTCTAGGCTGTCTTAGCGGTCGGCTGGTCTTGGTAGTGGCATGGTGGCCCTAAGCAAACCCAAGCGCAGTAATCCTTAGATGTCAAGCCAAAGGGCTAATCTCACAAACTTTGTCATCGCGCAAGATCTTTGGAGAGGACAAAGCTCTTGGGCATTGGGGTGGCGATGCCTGTTGTGAAATATTCTTGGGTCGCATTCGCATCAAATCAAAGTGACCTGCTCCTGCGCTGGCGTCTATTGCGTAAAAAAGGTCGCGCCCCCCAGAGCCGTAGCGCGTCAAAGGGCCAAAAGGATGAGCGTCAAGCCACACGTGGCAGAACTTTGCAAAGCCCTCACGCAGGGCAACTCCAAAGCTTTTTCGAAGATTGAAACCCTCGCTCATAATTATAGCAGCGTAGACCCCAAACAACTTACGAAGCAAGCCACAGAGACGAACTGCGAAGCAGTCAACAGCTCAAACCGTTCCAGCTCGCAGTGATCAACTCGGACCTTCCGGGCTTGTTTCAGCACTTGGCTCAATGGACTCAAGGTCAGAACCGGCAATTCAGACGACGACAGAACGACAAGCACGGAGACAAGTGGAACAAGAAGGGAGACAAAAAAACCGCCAAGGAAACACAAGTAGATGCAAGTGTAAAATCATCCGGTCAAGAGTATCCAAGCATGGAGACAGTGTGCACAGAGTAGTCTGAGGCAAGTGGAGGCAGGTGTAACAAGAAGGGAGACAAGCAGGGAGACAAGTGGGAGACAAGTGAAAAATCATGTGGCCAAGAGCGTCTAGGCAGGGGGCGGGCAAGCGGAGACAAGCGTTAAAGACATCCGGCCAAGCGTGTCTTACTGAGTAGGCCGAGACATGTGGAGACAAGTGCAACAAGAGACAAGCAGGGAGACAAGTGGAGCCAAGGACCAGAGCAGACCTGGAGATGAGTGGAAGACAAATGTAAAACCACGCAGAGCGTCCAGAGTGGACAAGGAGATAAGTGGGAGGCAGGTGTAGTCCAGAGCACCCAGAGCGTACTGGGACAGGAGGGATACAAGCGAGGGACAAGTGTAAAATGCGGCGCTGAGAGTGGACAAGGAGACAAGCGGGAGAGAAATGTCAACATGCGGTCACGCGGCCAAAGCAATCGCAGTAGACAAATGTAAAACTATTGCGCGGGCACGCCACCCTTTCAATGGGGTGAGAACTGCTTACACGTAAACCTGCTTGGAGATGAATCATGCGGCCAGCAGCCAAAAGACTGGAGACAGTGGAGACAAATGGGAGACAAGTCTAAATAGAAACATGTGAGACAAGCGGCCCAGCGCGCCCACGCGGGGGACAAATGTAAAACCAAGTGCAACATGCGGCCACAGCAACCACAGTGCGGCAGGAAGGTAAGCTAAGCCCGGAGACAAATGTAAAATCATGCGGCCGGTCATGCACCCCTCTCAAAGGAGTAAGAACCCCTCACAGGCAAACCTGTTTGAGAAAAATCCTTTGTCGCGGCCCATTGGTGGCGGCAACAAAATTTGCGCTCGTTGCGGCCACTCCACATCGGCTAGGATGGTCTGCGGAAACGCAATCAATGAACGGGGCATGGGCGAGGGACTTACGTAGAAACAATCTAAGAGCATCGGTAGGTTCAAAGTGTTCTGCTGGCAAAAAATGTCCGTGCTTCTCGAGATGCATCTTTGCACGTTCCACCTTCTGCCTCAGGTCTAGTGGCCTCGGTGGTGGTCCAGGCGGTCTTGGAGGTCCAGGTGGCCTGGTGTGGTTCTTGGTGATGTGGCAGCTCCCCATACATCTCCTGCACACCTGAAAGTGCCAAGCCTCCTTGATGATATACCTAGTTGCTGGGCAGACAGCTTGTCAAACTTTTCCCACCCAAAAGCGCTGGCAGCGCACGCATGGAAAAAGGAGCGCCCATCGCGTAGGATTGGCAGTGCTTCACATAAGCGTGTAGATCCTCCTCTCGCCGCCGCTGTACTGTCGGTACATCACCGCGCTGCGAGCACAGCGGCGCAAACTCAGTTCGTGGAAGGTGCGCGTTAAACTCTATAGACCTGCGCGCGCATCTTTGCCTGCAGCGTCGCTTTTTGCGCTGGGTTATAAATTCCTGCGCGTCATTTCTGGGATATGTCCCATTACCAGCTCGTAGATGAAGGTTAACAAAAGCCTTTCCCCCAAATAGCGCTAAAGACGCTAACCTTTTACCGACTGTTACTGGCAATGAAACAATGGAACATACCCTAGTCATGCTCTGCCCATTTAGAGACTAGGTTCCCCATCAACCTACCCCTGAGCCACCAAAGCAGGAGCGCGGACTCCTAACTGCAATCCACACCCTGACCTCTCTTTAGTCAAAGCGTTGCCCGAACTTCTAACTTGCGATAAACACACCAGCGCGGAATTGTTTGGAATGGACGCGCGCGCATTGAAGCCAAAGTCTCACCGTCCTGCCCGCCCTGTAGTGTGGGGGGATTGGCCAGGAAAACCCTCCAAATGCTAGCGCTGATGGGCTTGCTGTATTGACTTGACTCCATGCTGGGCAATCGTGTTGTCGCCACCTGGCTGAAAAAACACATGGCCAAGTTGGTCAAAAGGTCTGGGAACGTCGTTTTGGAACCATGGAGTCCGTGGTGGAAATTTGGGCACTTGGATGCGTCGGACATACTTTGTGTGTAGTGACCTCAATTTGCTGCCGAAGTATAAGCCCCCCTCACACACTTAGCAAGTGTACTTTCACGGCTGTCACCTGCGCAGGTGTCTGTCAACGCGTTATAGCATTCGTCAGAATGCGAGAACCCTCTGGCGAATCATGGTTCTCATGAGTAGCAGACAGGGTTGGCGGCGACGGATTTCTCTGCAGGCTTACCAAGAGCGCCTGAGCGAAGGGTTCTTCTAAACAAAGCAGGCGCGTTACATATCATCACACAACTTACACCTGCGCATTCCACATTCCACATCTAACCCCCTTTCACTTTCTGTCTCGCCATCTTACACGGAGCAATTCTACCCCTAACCGCGCTCGGGCCATCCTTTGTCCAGTTGCGCTATTACCCCGTGTCATTGCTGGTTCTTGCAGAATACTCTCAATGCTTGTCTACTCAGCCTGTACCATGTCTGCTTCCCATTTGCGCAAGGCTTTCTGCGCCCTTGCAGACCACCAGAGCCTGCAGCAGCAGCCAGCCGAAGGCTTCCGACCGCTTGGGTTGAGCCCAAACTTTTGTTAGTCGCTAATATCGTCGCCCATAATCTTGTTCAGCATCGAGTCTTTTGCGCAACCCGAGGTCCGCTTCTGGGGTGCGGGCAGGCCTGGTGGTCTGTTTGACCGCCTGCACGCCAGCTTGTCGCAGCCGCCAATTTCCTTGGAATGGGTCCTGATTCTTTTCCTCCTCCAGCAAACATGGTTTGCCGGAGGTACTTGACTTGGTCAACGTTTGTCGGGCCAGGCTTCTCCACTACAAGCGCGCCAGGAAGCACGACGAGGACGAACGGGACTGGGCTGGGGCATCCAGGCAATCAGGGTCGCCTGCCCATCTACCAGCTCCACCAAGGTCTTGGCATGAAGTTCGGCCAGCTTGCGCGACGCCTTCCTGATCACTTGGAGCTCCTGCTCTCGCACTAAGTTTTTCAGGTGTCCCTTACCAAAGAAAAGTCTGTGACCAGCCAAATGAGTCTTTGGCGGCTCTTGTGGAATCTTGGTGGCGTTGACAGATGCCAGGTAGAAGGACAATTTTTGCGGGGACGGAATGGCTTTGATTAGGTATAGTGGAAAAGAACTCCCTTAATGTGGCTGATAGAGCTGCTAGCGGCTGTGAAAACACACAGCTCGTCCTCCTATTGTTGCTTGGTGGGCAGCAACTCCTTGGCAGTCTTGACCGCCTCCAACCACTTGAAGTCCACTTCCAGCCACATGCCCCAGGAGTCGGGTCGTTGCCGCTCAACCCCACGCCAGAGGCGTGTGCATTCTTGAACTTGTTCTGCGCTCGGCACTCTGCTTGCAATGCCTCCTAGTTCTCCACAGTCAAGTTGGC